AAATAGGAGCGAAACATCTCATCCACTAAAATATCGTTGTACAATGTGTTCCTTGTAAATATACTCGTAAAACTATGTATTGAACATCCTTGAAACTTATATAGCAAATACATTAAGCAATATTCGCCACAAACTGAAGTCCACTCATTCTGAATCCTATCAACATTCCAGTTCCATCTTTTACAATTCCTTTACAGGTCCTCTACAGGTGATCGTCCATATGAATCAAAATATTGACCGACGTCATTCGTATCGATATATAAAGCTACCCAATGTGACCCTGGTTTATCATCTGTATCCAAATTGCATATTATATACGTTGGTACGTGGGTATACATAGGCAGTCTATTAGCTGCATAAACATTATTTTCTAGACTGGGGTGAATCTTTTTCAGATGTTGTTGTACATCTAGTGTATCCATGATATTACTGCTATTAGTAGATTATTACAGTACCAATCTACTCAATGAATAACATAGGAATGGTCAATTATAGTGATTTCTAAATATTAAATTGCATTTTTGTGTTATACAAATCGTACTTGAGTCATTGATCACCAAACAAAACACAATACGAAGAAATGTTGAGATAGGCAACGGAAATGTGAGATAAACTGATATGTTTCTAAATATTAAATTGCATTTTTGTGTTATACAAATCGTACTTGAGTCATTGATCACCAAACAAAACACAATACGAAGAAATGTTGAGATAGACAACGGAAATGTGAGATAAACTGGTTGACGCATAAAGTAATTATCAACTCATTACGGAAATACTTTAGATTAGAATTTTTACGTACTGGTGGTATATAAGACCAACAGATGCAGTCATGGAGTTAGTGTACGGTCGTTTGACTACAGTGGATCTATCAATAGTACATTTGTGTTACTTCAATACACCAAAGGCTATGGATGTAAGTGTTTATTCTATTGACTAAATTACTTTTTTCTGTTATTTTCATGTGTGTGTATTATTTTATTTAAATATTGTGTATGTATATGATTAAGCCGTGGTAACTCAGATGGTTAGCGCTAGCTGTAAATTTCACAGTACGCGACCCGGGTTCGATCCCCGCCAGCACCAATTAAATTGTTAATCGCAATTTTAAGTGCTTATTACCACGTGCTTGGTGGTGAAGGAAAACATCGTGAGGAAACCTGCATGTCTGAGAAAATTTCGAAGGCATGTGAAGTTCGCCAACACACATTGAGGGAGCGCGGCGGACATTTCCTTGCTCTAAAACCCTCTCAGAAATGAGAGGAGGCCTATGTTCAGCAGTGGACTTTAATAGGCTGTAACTTTAACTTTTTTAACTTTTATGATTAAGTGTTAACAAATTGATATTAACATGATAACTGTGTTGTTGCAGAAATCATTGAGCTTCGATGAAGATACCTATAAACAGTATTACTACTCGCCACTCTCCCCTCAAGAAGAGAGTGATAACCTCGTCATTAATAATAACACATGCGATGGTGGAAAAAGAAAATCGCAATCGATTGATCATTTTTTTGAAGCTGAATCAAAAATAAAAAAGAGGAAGGGAAAACTTCAGTGAAGTGTGCACCAGTGCTTTTTTCTCCACAATCATGGAAAAGAATACGGAACTATTCAATAGCGAATTAAATCAGGAGTTGTCTAAAGTTTGTGAAGAAATGGAGAGGGGTCAACTGTTCGATTCGTCATACGATGATGAGTTGTATCATCACTGTGCGATGGTTGAAACACAGTTTAAGTATGTAAACATTCATTTCGATCATAATTTACATATTGTCTTATACAGTTTTTAATAAATTTAAACATTTTAGCAGTCAACCACTACAACTTGGAAGAGGAACGAAGCGAACGTGCAGCAAAGAATCCAAGATCATCAAAAAACCAACAACGGAAGCAGAAGCGCATACCTCTGCAGGGAACAGTATCAGTAACGATGATCAAGTGGAATGTCCAACGTGCCATATATTTATCAAGAAACGGTATTTAGCTAATCATTTTAAAAGTAATGTTCATAAAAATAATCTTTTAAATTCACATAATTCTTTATCAAACGTTAGTGTTATTGAATCTGCTTTTGGAAATAGGATTTTAACTTATAAAATCAAGAGTAGAGTAGATCGTTCGACATGGGTAAATTTTGAAACTCCTGAACTATTTTTAAATTCTATTAAAGATGATATTTTATTTTTATTACAAGAGTGTATTCATCAACACATAATTTTTAAGGTAAACTTCATATTGCATGCCGATTTTGTTCAACAAACTAAAGATATTCATGATACGTTCGATTTTCAAACGCTTAACTATATTATTTGTCAAGGAGATGACTTAAATATTTTTCTTTCATCTTTAAATGATACAATTACTACTAAAATTAGTGCTTTCGAAAAAAAAGATAGTGGATGGAGTCTAAAAAACATAAAATCTATAGACATGAATGTTAATAAATTTAACCCCCTACGCGGTACTTCATACATAGATCTTCCTCGTGACATAAAATTAAAAAAGGCTGTTATAAATGTAAAAAACAAGGATTATTTTTGTTTTAAATGGGCGTTACTCTCGGCGTTATATCCTGTAAACAAACACACCGATCGGGTATCATCGTACGTTAAACATGCAAATAAACTTAAATTTGATGGTATTTCCTTTCCGGTTAAAATTTCTGACATAGCAAAAGTAGAGAAATTAAATGATATTAGTATTAATGTTTTTGGGTTAGAATATAATAAAGAAAAACGATGTAATTCTATAGTAGGTCCATTATTTTTAACAAAGTGTCGTAAAGATAGACATATCAATTTATTATTTTTTCCAAGGATACAAAAAATCATTATTGCTATATAAAAAATTTATCGCGGTTAGTTAGTAAACAAATTTCAAAAGACGGTCACATCATGTACATTTGTGAAGCATGTCTACTTCGTTTTCCATCTCAGGAAAGGTTAAATAACCATGAACAATACGATTGTGCCCACATTTGTACAGTATTACCAAACAGTGAAACTTTAAAAAAAAAGAATTGGTTTGGTCAACCTATTTCAAATGATAAAATTAAATTTGATAGTTATGAAAAAAAGTTAAAGATACCATTCGTAGTTTATGCTGATTTTGAAGCATTTTTAAAACCAATAGAATCATGTTCTAACGATCCTTCCAAACCTTTCACTCGTAATATTCAGAAACATGAAGTACATAGTTTTGGATATTATATAAAATGTTCATATGATGATAAATTATCAAAATATGTAACATATTGCGGACCCAACTGTGCACAAGTGTTTATGGAAAGTTTATCTAACAATCTAAAAGAAATAAATAGACTTCAAAAATATCTACCACTTCCGCTAACAAATGAAGACAAAAACCAAATTTCAAATGCAACCATTTGTCATATTTGTGAAACTGAGTTGGCAAAACATTTTTATGATTTTGATTGGTACACTGGTAGTTTTATAGGTGTTGCTCATGAATCATGTTGTTCGAAGATCAGAACACCTCGTTATATACCAATATTTTTACACAACCTTAGTCACTATGATGCTCATTTTATTGTTCACGCGTTAAACTTTTGTGATGGTGAAGTCGAAGTTATCCCTCAAAATAAAGAAAAATATATATCCTTTTCCAAAAAATTAAAAGTGAATAACCACGAAATTATATTGAGATTCTTAGATTCATTTAAGTTTTTATCGTGTAAATTAGAAGAATTGGCCAAAAATCTCAGTAATGATCAATTTCAAGAATTACGTAGAAATTACCCTAATGATGAAGATTTCTTTCGTTTAAAACGGAAAGGTGTTTATCCATATGAACTTATGACTAATTATGATAGTTTAAGTCTAACATCGCTCCCTGAACAAAAATGTTTTTATAGTTCACTCACAGATTCACATATTTCAAATGATGATTACAATCATGCTAAAGATGTTTGGGAACATTTTGGGTGTTGTAATATGCTAGATTATTCAAACCTGTATTTAAAAACAGACGTTTTACTTTTATCCGATGTATTTGAAAACTTTAGAAAGTTATGTATTAATACATATGATTTAGACCCTGTCCATTATTACACAGCACCCGGTTTAAGTTGGGATGCAATGTTAAAATATACAAAAATAGAATGAGAACTTTTAACAGATTATGAGAAAATTGCATTTATTAGATCAGGTATCAGAGGTGGTGTATCTCAATGTAGTAATCGTTATGCTAGAGCTAATAACAAATACATGGAGGATTATGATACAGGGAAACCAAATTCATATATCACATATTTTGATGCCAACAATTTATATGGTTGGGCTATGTCTCAATATCTTCCTACTGGTGGATTCGAATGGGTAAATCCAAATACAGAATTTAATGTGTCTAAGACATCAGACTTCGGTTTTATTTTAGAAGTTGATTTGGAATATCCAGATGAACTTCATGATTTACATTCGGACTTTCCTTTATGTCCAGAAAACATTTGTGTAGGCAATATTAATGAGAATAAACTAGTCCCAAATTTAAATAATAAAGATAAATATGTAATTCATTACAGAAATTTAAAGCAGTGCATAGAAATGGGGGTTAAATTAACTAAAATTCATAGAGTTTTAAAATTTAAACAGTCTCCCTGGTTGAAGATGTACATAGATCTAAACACAAAATTAAGAACTTTAGCAAAATCAGATTTCGAAAAAGATTTTTATAAATTAATGAATAATTCAGTCTTCGGTAAGACTATGGAGCATATTGAAAAAAGGGTTAACATAAAATTAGTTACGCACTGGGAGAACCAGGGTAAAGCTTTAGGTGCTCAAGATCTAATCGCTAAACCACAATTTCATAACCTTTCAATATTTTCGGAAAACCTAGTTGCGGTTCAGTTGCGAAAAACGAAGTTAATATATAACAAACCAATTTATTTAGGGTTTTGCATTTTAGATATTTCAAAAACATTAATGTATGATTTTCATTATAACTATATGATTAAAAAGTTTAGTAAAATCAAAATATTGTATACAGGTATACGGATAGTTTAATATATCATATATTTACAAATGATTTTTACACTGATATAAAACCTGACCTTTCATCATACTTTGATACCTCAGATTATGATACAAATAATATTTTTGAATATCCAAAATTAAATAAAAAGAAATTAGGTTTTTTTAAAGATGAAAATAATGGTAAAATCATGAAAGAATTTGTGGGTTTACGATCCAAAATGTACGCTTTTAACTTAGAGAATAAGACTATAGCCAAGGCAAAAGGGGTAAATAAATGTATCACTAAAAAGATGACAATGAATAGTTATAAGTCTTCTCTATTTAATAAAAAAGTGCAATATTATAGTATGCTTAGATTTAAATCAATTAAACACACAATTTTCACACAAAAATTAAATAAGATAGGTTTATCATATAATGACACAAAGAGACATATTTTAGATAATAATATTGAAACATTAGCTTGGGGTCATTATAAACTGCGTTAAGTGTTGATAGTTTTTACTTTTATGTCTGCGTTTAAGAAAAATTTATATTGATTGTAAAATTATGATAATACTATAATATGACGTAGTTTATTACATATTTAATCATTGTTTTATTGTAAATAATTTAAGTTAATTGTTGTTTCTATTTATTTGAGGTTGAGTTAATTGTAAAATTATGATGTACTAATTGTTGTTTCTATTTATTTGAGGTTGAGTTAATTGTAAAATTATGATGTACTAATTGTGTTAGAAATAGTATACAGATAATTCTGTTTTATATAATTTTTGGAATATATATTAATTGTTTACACCAACACTTTCATTTTTTATTTCACCCCTTTGAACTTTAGACGTGTGTTATGTTTCACTTTATCCACCCGTTCACTGCTATTGTGGCAGGACCAAGTGGGTGTGGGAAGTCAAATTTTGTAACAAATTTCATAAAATCAGTTACAGAAATATGTAATTGTGATTTTAATCAGATCACATGGTGCTTTGATGAAATGCAACCATTATATAATTTACCAAACGTTAACTATCATCAAGGAATTCCAAATCTTAATATGTTTGATGGTGAAAACCCACATCTTGTTATTATTGATGATCTAATGAGAGAGTCCGATGGAAGAATTGTGGATATATTTACAAAAGGTAGTCATCACAGGAATCTTAGTGTATTTTATCTAACACAAAATTTATTTCATCAGGGTAAAGGACAAAGAGACATATCTTTAAACTCAAGTTATATAATATATTTTAAAAACCCTCGAGATAAAACTCAAATAAGATATTTAGCAAGACAAGTATCACCAGATAACCCAAAATTCATTGAAAATGCCTACAGGGATGCAACTCTAGAGGCGCATGGATATTTAATGGTAGATTTAAAACAGAATACCAATGATTTTTGTCGTATCAAGACAAATGTCTTTCCATTTAATGGTTTCTGTACAGTCTACGTCCCCACAAAAGAGTTTAAATACACCAAGAATCAAACAATTGAAATCATTGCTAAATGATGCATCGTCGACTCACAACGTATAAACATTTGCTAACCGCTTTGCATACGCTTAAACCAAAATATCAAAGAGCATTACTTAAAACGTGTGATGAAGAAGAAATTAACTGTATTTGTGAGTGTATTCATAACGTTTTACAAGGAAAAGTACCTCTTAAAGATCAGGATAAACAAAAATTGAATAAACATAAAAACATACTCCGTAAACTAGTACGTAAGTGTAAACATAAACTAAGAAAAAATATAATTATACAAAAAGGAGGGGCTTTCTTACCAACAATATTAGGTGCAATATTGAGTGGATTAGTGAGTGGACTAGCCAGTTAACATGGAAAATGCAAAGAAAATGATACTTATCGAACCTGGATTGATTGAAAAATTAAAACAAGAAAATAAGGTTAATAGTAATTTATCTCGATTAGATATTGAAATGCAAAATATTATGAATAGTAAGACGGAAGACCGAAAGAAATGGATATTATATTTACAAACACTGCAAAGATACCTTCATTTTACCGAAGAGGGTCGTCAACCACTCAAATTACCAATTTATTCTGATACATCTAATGAAGATTCAAATGAGTCAAAAATTGGTTTTAAAAATAAAGATAGAGATCTAAAAACTTCAGTTGATATTGAATCTTTGCTGGAGGAGAATCGATCCATTAAAAATAAAGAAAATGATGAAAATCCACTTTACACACCAGCTCAAATACTCAGTTTAATACCAAAAACTTATCATAAAAAAGGGCAGTTATTATTAAACTTAGTTGAAACAAGTAAAAGTAAAATACATTGGGATAATGAAGGTACAGTCATAATTGATAGTGAAAAAATTCCTGGAAGTAATATTGTTGATTTAATAAATGATTCACTAAGACCCCTAAAAAGAAGTGATCCGGTAGGGTGGGTTAGATTTGCTGAAGCATTAAAAGATATTAAAGTACCACTTACTTATATTGGAAATCCAAGGAGATGTGAGTTTATTAACCAACTTCAAGCAAAAGATCTGAACAAACCCTCTGAGATTGAAGATCAAGAGTTTTCTACACCGGTCAGTAGAGATAAAAAGTCTACAACTAAAATACGTAAAGGACTTGAGTGGGAAAAATGGACCCCGTACTAGAAGAAATTAACAGGATTTATTATGATCCATCTAATCCCGCTGGTTTTGGTAGTATTGATAAATTATCAAAAGCCATGAAGGGTAAAATGAATAAAAAGCAAGTAAAGGAATGGTTAAAATCACAAGAAACATACACATTACATAAACCCATTCGAAAAAAATTCCCGCGTAATAGGTACATTCTATCAAATATTAATGAACTGTGGCAAGCTGATTTAAGTGATATGCGAACTTATTCTCAATATAATGATGGTTTCAAGTATATACTTTGTATTATTGATGTATTTAGTAAATATGCTTTTGCAAGACCAATGAAAAAGAAAAACTCAGAAACAACTAAAGAATGTTTTGAAAGTATATTTACTGAAAGTAATTTAACACCTACTCACATACAATCCGATAAAGGTACAGAATTTGTTTCAAAAGATGTACAAAAATACTTTAAATCCAAAAAGATTAATTACTATACCACTAACAATCCTGACATTAAGGCTAGTATTGTTGAACGATTTCAAAGAACACTAAAAATGAAAATGTGGCGTTATTTCACTCATAATAATACTTATAGATATATAGATGTTTTACAAGATTTAATATACTCTTATAATCACAGCTTTCACTCTAGTATTAAGATGTGCCCATGTGATGTAAATTCCAACAATATTATGACAGTTTCGACTAATCTTTATGATAGACGGTCAAAAAAACTTTCTTTAGAAAATCCTAAACCAAATTTCAATGTGGGTGATTATGTTCGAATAACTAAATATAAACATGTATTCCAAAAAGGATATGAATCAAATTGGAGTGATGAAATATTTATTATATCTTCAATAATTGATAGATCTCCATGGGTTGTTTATACAATAACAGATTTACAAAATGAACCAATAATTGGTACTTTTTATGAAAGAGAATTACAGAAAATCACTTACAACCCCACCTCACAACATAAAATAGATAAAATAATTGACACTCGTTATTCAGGTAACAGAAAAGAAGTATTAGTGAAGTGGAAAGGTTATCCAGATAAATTTAACAGTTGGATTTTAGCTTCTAGTTTAAAAGAAATATGAATAAAGAAAGTTTCTATTTAACTTTGCTCAGCAATAGTTCAATGGAATACTTTCCTGATAACAAGACCACAAATTTTTCAACGAAATTACCAAAAGCTATAAAATTAGAAGGTGAATGGTCGGTTGGAGTTGTCGAGTTTCAATATCCATGTACCATGTTTACTGTTCAAGACCATGAAAATGTTATATACATTACAAAATCTATGTTAATGCCTAATGAAGATAAACCATCCACAGTGTACTACAAAAAACATATTCCAGCTACCAACTATGATAACGTTGAGCATATTTTAAGAGTGTTAAATGGTATCGGAGAGAACTTGAAATTTCGCTATAATGAAATAACAAAATTTGTGTCTATTTCGGTATTGGATAAAAATATAACATCCGTAACATTATCACCCAAATTAAGTTTACAGCTAGGTTATGAACCAAATAAAAATCTCCTAGAGAGAAATTTTGGAAAGTGTCCTGCTAATTTACACTTAGGGTTACCATCTCAACTATTTCTATATTGCGACATTATCGATCCTCAGATTGTGGGTGATGTTATGACTCCTTTATTAAGAGTCATTTCATTAGATCCTACAAAATACATTTATGGTGCAAATAAAATGCACGTTTTCTCTCAACCTCACTACTTACCTGTTATGCGAAGAGAGTTCGATACGTTGGAAATAGTTATAAGATCGAGTACAGGACAAAAAATACCATTCCAGTTTGGAACCGTGTGTATTAAACTACATTTCCGAAAATTATAATAATGAATTCTCTTCGTGATCATCATAAATGTCCATATGAAAATTATTATACACATCAAGCTGGATCAGGAGTTGGAGTAATTTATAAGGGTTCACCATATCAACGCGGTCATGGTATTGGGAGCTTCTTAGGGGGGTTATTCAGATCAGTTTTACCTTTACTTTCAAGTGGTGCTCGAGTGATTGGTAAGGAGGCATTAAGCGCTGGAGTAGGACTTTTATCGGATATGGTTCAAGCCCGTCCTATGGAAGCCTCAATAAAAGATCGTCTAAAGCAAGTTAGTACGAATTTAAAACGAAAGGCTGATGAGAAAATTGATCAATTTAACATGACTGGATCTGGGTATAAAACTAAAAGAAAACGATTGACATCGTTCATTCCACCATTAACTGCTAAAGTGAAAGCTGCGAAAAAACTTTGTCTAAAACCAAAAAATATCAAAGATATATTTTCAAACTAAATATGTCTTTCCTTCATAATCATTCTTGTGAGTGCGTTAAGTCAGAATTGGATTTGTTTGCACTACCGTCTACACAAACTAGCATTGAAAATGGATTGTGGATTCATTATAAACCAATTTCATCTCTTGGTGATGATGGACCTATCGAGTTTCAAGTTCCTGGGACCGGCGATGACTACATAGATTTGTCTCATACATTACTCCACATAAAGGCAAAAGTATTAAATCAAGATTCAACTAACTTGGTATCTACTACAATAGTCATCATCATCATTACAGCCCTTCACAAGTCCACTGCTGAACATAGGCCTCCCCCAAAGAATGCCACAAAGCACGGTCCTGAGCCACCTGCATCCATCGACTTCCTGCATATCTTACCAGGTCGTCACTCCATCTAGTGGGGGGACGCCCTACACTTCGCCTGCCGGTACGAGGCTGCCACTCGAGAACCTTTCTTCCCCATCGGTTGTCGGTTCTTCGAGCTATATGGCCGGCCCATTGCCACTTCAGCTTACTAATCCGTTGGGCTATGTCGGTCACTCTAGTTCTACTGCGGAT